GAAGTCGTTCTGTAAATACAGGAATGTGGCTTTAGGGTTAACTTGGGTGATTTTATTTTTTTTGTTGAGCACTGTAGTTACAGTACCAACTAGTACTGCAACCACACTTTTACCAGCTACGTTCCATGACCAAAAAGCTGCTTTATCAGTGCTGTTGTATTAGCACCTTGGTGTATGTGCAGTCTAAACACAGCAGGAATTTAATTTTGAATCATATTGAAGCTCAGCGAGGGCACTCTTTGATCAGGAGGTATTTATTGATTTAATTACTGTGCTTGTTACTCTTTGGAGAAGGGAGGAGTAATAATCCACTCCTGAACTTCTGACGGGGACACGGGGTTGAGGTTTTCTCACCCGCAGGTTTTTTCAGTGTCAACAAGCCCCGTTTTAAAGGTAGCAGACTGTGTGAAACGTACAGTATTTGCTATGTAACTGTATATTCTACTAATACAATGTTTAACAGCTGCATGTGGAAGAAAGCAGCCCGGACAGCCTGAAGTTAGAGACTGGGCTTCTTACCAATGTAAACCTCTCTTGAAATGTCACTATTTCTTTTTGCCTCTCGGCCAACAAAAACCAACTCATGACATCACGGCTTCCCAACCCTAAAGCTGCCCCAATGCAACCGACTATCAGAAAGTCAATGCACAGCAAGAAACCTTTTGTTTGTTTGAGCTAATAATTCCTATATCTTCATAATGAATTCAAACTAATGACAGACTGAAGGAATAAATTGAAAGTTTGGAGCAGAATTGACTTTTTTTTGATGAGAGTTAGATGAAAATATTGATGCTCTCATGCACAGACGTACATTTAACATTAGAGGGAGGGGACACATTAAGGGGTCCAAGTGTCCTCCTTCTGGACATTTTGAGTGAATTCTGGTGAATTTTTTACCAATTTGTACCTTTTCAGCATCAATTTATAGGGTAAATATTTCTATTTATGTAAAAGCAAATGTACATTTTAGACCAGAGGTGTCAAACTCTGGTCCTCGAGGGCCACAATCCTGCATGTTTTAGATGTTTCCCTCTTCCAACATACCTAATTCAAATGATCAGCTCATCATCAAGCTCTGCAGAAGCCTGATAACGATCCTGATCATTCGAATCAGGTGTTTTGGAAGAGGGAAACATCTAAAACTTGCAGGATTGCGGCCCTCGAGGACCAGGATTCGACACCCCTGTTTTAGACACAATGATGGTAGGTATAATCCTGCCATTGACCAAGCATTTCACACAGCTTTTTGCGCCCCTTCTGGGTTTTTCAAAATCTCCTCCAATACAGTTCTCACCTCTCTGAGAGCAAATCTTCCACCAAACTAGTTCTCCCATTACTATTTTTAGGGTACAGCCTCGCTGCATTCTTGGCTTAGCTCCACCCAATACAACTATGTCTGGTTTAACGGTATACAAACACGCCGGAGCATTTTCCCCCTGTAGCCGAATGATGGAGAATAGTCTGACTATGCAAGACTATTGGGAAGGATAATACTGTGTTCTATATACTGAGAGGTGCGTAACCCTTACATCCCTCCTGAAAGCTACACCAATGCTCCCATATTTATTTGGTAAAGAGACAAAAAAAGTTTTGTAGCTTCGCGTACTGGAAGCTGGAACAAATTCTGGGCAAAGCAATCGAATCTGATCTCTAGAGCAAAATGTTAAATGTCATTTTTTTCATGTGTATCAAAACCAAAGTGTAAAAATGACATTTAGTGGTTTCCTAAGGGTTATATGGCAGAATCTTACTGTCACCTTGATGTTGCCAGGCAACTAGAGGAGGCGAAATGAGGATGAACCAGGCTTGCAGTTTTCCCCACTTCCCAGTTGTCTAAGCTGACCAGCCAGTTGGCAGAATACTGTTGTGCTGAGGCTATTATAACATATGTTCAGGGACAAAGACAACACCGCATGTAATTGAATTTCCTGTACCGACTTATATAGGTGTGTCCAACCTCCACTTGTGTCAATTCTCAAAGCTCTCCACCACAACCTTTCTCTTCACTCTTTCATTACAGAAACTGGGAGAGAAGGAGGCTTGAGGAGTCGTACTCACTCTCACTCTCCAGGTTCCCCCACACTCAAAGGTCTTCATCTGGCAACCCTCTTTCATCCCATACCCTCAACCCTCCCTTGATCCCTCTCCTTCCTTCCAGTTAAAAACAACACTCCTCATCTATTGTGGTGTGATCTTTATTTGTGAATTTACTGTAAACTCACACATCTACATCTAGAGGCAGCAGATCATTAGCTTAGAATATCATTAAGTAGGAAAACAGCTTACTTAGCTCCTCTCCATAAAACCAGAAGTTGTCACTTCTGCGCTTTGAAGTAAACGAGATGCATTGTGTTAATTTGTGATTTCTTTTAAACTGTTGGACAGAGTCGCTTTCAAATCATTACGCTCTTTTTTCCTCCATCCATTCGCATGCTGTCGATCTCTTAGCGACTCTCACATGCGCGGTGGATTCTGCCAGCGCAGTAACAATAGCCTTGGGTGGAGTGCACAGCTGAGCTGGAGTCCACAGCATATGTTTTGATTGCTGGAATGGTGGACAGAGCAAGGAGCCATCTTTAGGAGATTTTGTTACTCACTGAGTAGTCCAGGTCAGTACGCTGTGCTCCAGACCAAGCGTCAAAATGGGTCCAATAAGGATTATTTACTTAAACCTTCCTGAAATAGAGAGAAGTGGTTGTTGAACACTGCATAGTCATTGCACAGTTATACATGACTGCTCTGCTCCATTAAAATGATGCAAATTCTATTTACTCAAAATCCTTCCAGCACGTGAGTTTTGAATTTGTCTGCCATCTAGAAACATAATGACACACTTGTTGAGTCTATATATGGTCTGTGGGCTATTCTTCTTTCTTGCTTTCCCTTTCGCTCACTGCTGCACCTCATTCTCTCTGCTGTACTGGCATCAACACTAGGTTTCAGGAGGCCTCTGGAGAGGGGGGAAAAGCATGGGGGAAACTTGGAACAATATATTGTAGGTAAATAAATGCTCTGTCTGAAAAAGAATGCCTTTTTAAAACATACCCGAGCCCCTCAGTGAAGCATGTGCCCCAAGTAATGCCCTAATTACCCCTGTGATAATATGATAATAATGCTTCAACCTCTTTCGAAGTCACTGGGTTCACTGCGCAAACAAGGACCAGTACTCTGAGACTGAGGGAATATCATCTGGGGCCTTGAGCAGACTGCACGTGAAGAAGTTGTGTGTGTGTGTTTGTGTATGCAGGAGAGGAAGAGAGAGGGAGAAAGGCTCACTGTAGAAGTACAGTATTCTATTCAATCCCACTTCCAGCTTTTCTGCAATGAAACTGAACTTTTGACTCCGTTGTTTAGTCTTGGATCAGAAGCGTATGGCTGATTAAACATGAAGATAGCGTGAAATGCTGTGAAACAGGTGTATGTTAAGCTAATCTGATGAAATGGATTACAACGCGGCTGTAAACCTGGGGATAGAACCTCAGCGCGGTGTCGATCAGGATCTTTGGCTGGTGGACCAAGCTGGCTGGAGAGCAGCCTGACTATTGATACCAGATGAGAGGATGAGTCAAAATACTGAGCAGATGTGATGGTGTACAGTCATAACAAGAAAAAAAAAAGGTTAAAAGAAATCATAGAATATCTCTAAAGACACTGGATTACCTAAATAAAAATATAGGCTATAAAGTATTTAAAGCTTTTTGTAAGATTCATCACAAATAGCAGCTCTTGTCTTTACGTGTGATTCACTGAAATGTAACCAAAGGTCTATTTGACCTTAAAATTAGCCCAACATTTTAAATTCTAACATCCCATAGACTCTAAATGTTTACATGTTTCCTGTTGCAACAAGAAAAACACATTTCTGCTAAGTAGTGTTAAGTGTTAAGTCTGGTCTGGGAAGCAGAAATATTCAACTAATCTGTCATGATTTATCCCCTGATTTTGACAACTTTCCATCCCAGTGCAACCTTGAGGAGAGCAGGAGCTGAAATGTATGGACGGAGTGAAACGAAGGAGAAAATCTTTGCCGTGCACCGCTCTTGAGTGATATATCCCTTCCACCAATTCCAGCACCTGAAAAGTCCATCACTTCCAAGAAGTCTTTTTGGGAAAGCACCAGTCCTTCTGCAACAGGAAAGGAGGAGAGAAAGAGAGTGAGAGAAGGAGAAGAAGAAGAAGAAAAGGGGGAGAAAAAGTGTTCCTGCGTCACGTTGCTTTAATTTGTTCACCAGCTGCCAATGAAAATGATGACCTGCAGAAGGATTTTTTTTATTTTTTTCCCCCCTCTCTTGGCTCTGCATCTGCTCTGGCAAACCACACAGCTGGAGCCACACTCCGAACAAGTGTAAACTTTATAGTATAATGAATACGGCAAAGAAGACTGATAGGATACATGCACTCAGCTCTCACACTGATCTCACCCATAAAACTGCTGGCTTCCTTCCCACCTATGAGTGTCCTAATGAGTGGCCAGTGGAGCATGTGCAAAGTGCAAACTTGTCACCTGCATGTGGACCTGATGTTCCAGCTGTTTCACACTTTAATCAAATTCATTCACTGATAAGCCACTTTAAAAAAAAAAAAAGATAAAATCAGATATTAACATTAATCCCATCTGTGCTAGTATCACCACAACAATAACACATGAGAACTTGCACTTTGACTATCTTTTTTTCTTTTGAGAATTCAGAAAAAGCCCTTCATGGTGATTAAATATGATCCATCCTTCTTGGATTGCTTTATTATTCAAATGTTCTTTTCGCTTATTGCAGTTTTTGCAAACTTAAACCTGATGTCCTTGATGGAATCAGGCAGGATCTGCAGCGCACGGGTTACTGCAGGAACCAAACACAACGCCTCCAAATGATGTTGTGTTTCAGGTGACAGGGAGGGGCTGTGCGTCTACCTCCGAGGCGCACTTCCTGCACTGTCCACTGCAATATATAAACCCGCAAAAAGGGATTTCTCCTGAAGCGCTCACAAAGTTTGCAAAGCGTAAAAACGGCTCACCAGCAGCCCTCCCTCTCTCACTCCAATCCATTACAGAGGCTTTAGAGGTGATACCGTCTTGGCAGCGCAGGAGAAAGGTAGGACCAAAGACTGTGTGGATGAATGTCGCTGCTGTTTGTGCGTAAAGAGCGAAATGTTTGAAGTTTGGTTTAGGCGTAAATCATTTGTGCGCACTTTAAGTCTGTCTTCTTGGTTTATTTTCAGAACCATCCAGGACGCGGGATATTCTGACTGCAGTTTCCTAAAAAAAAAACAAACAAACATGAAACAACAGTTATTCGCCATAGACTTAATACTTTTGTGCATATCTTGCGGAGCAAGTGCACTGGCAACGAGTATTCCTGCTGCGTCCACGTCCTTGCCAGCCGCCAATTTCACCAATTTGGTCGCAGCGCACAGCTATGGAACAGACACCACAAGTCCCTCTAAAACCAGGAGGAAGCGTTATATTAGTCAGAACGACATGCTTGCCATTCTTGATTACCATAACAAAGTTAGAGGGAAGGTGTTTCCCCCAGCCTCCAACATGGAATACATGGTAAGTGGAAGCTTCCTTTCAACGTTGATTAATCTTGTGAAGATGCTTGTATTCATAGTTATTGCATGATTTTACTGGAGTCTTGTGTACCCTAATAGTCTCATTGCTCTAATTATGTTCTGCAAATAGCAAAAAAATAATAAGAATAATTTGTCACAGAATGCAAAGCTGATCTCTTTTTAACTGATGTGTTAAAAGTGACAAATGTTTGTAGGTTTTACTCTGCATCTTCAGCTGTTTAGCAGATTGCACTGCAGTAGACCACCAAAGTAGACACTTCCAAAGGAAGAGGGGTCATGTATGATACCAGTAGCCTGCAGAGAGTGGAGTACGGAGAAAACAGTCGTGGTCAGCTGTTGACCTGTTGGACATGTTGGCTAAAAGTTAAAGCGTCCCAAAGCAGCTTAAATGGCTTAATTTCACATACAGCCGGTGTTTAGCTCATTTGAACTGTTGCTTTAAAACAGACATCATTTTAGCCGACAGCATAACAACTGAGGTTGACGTGTTTCTTCATTTAAAATGGGCATTATTTCTCTTCTGTGTTTTCACAATAAAATGCAATGAAATACTGTAATAGGAGTCACTATGTCAGCACTACAAGCACGGTTCATTCCCAGTGAAATCATGTAGTGGAGTTTTCCTGCTGACATAAACTACACAGCCTTCCTCCTTCACTAAAAATGTCTATTCACTGAATGAGTCACTACATTCGGCACTGGGAAACTTCAGATTCTGCTCTTATGTAACTGATATGATGGATGACTGTGGCGTCTCACCATGGTAACACCTGTAACGGTGCTCCCAACCCAGAATAGCGCCGACTCTTATCTCACATGTCGCTGCTACATGAAGATCTCGTGTTGATATTTTTCCATCAGTTACGTAATGGGTTTCCTCGCTTCCACTGTGTTCCTGTTCGTGTTTAGGTGTGGGACGACACACTGGCAAAGACGGCCGAGGACTGGGCTCATGCCTGCCTGTGGGAGCACGGGCCACCTCACCTCCTCCGGTTCCTGGGTCAGAACCTCTCTGTCAGGACAGGACGGTGAGTGACCTTTGCTCCCCTCCGCCCTCCCCGACATCTGCTGCTCCTCTCAGGGATGACTCTCTCGCAGCAGTCATGGTCGTTGCCTTGTGGCCCCCGTCTTCTTTCTCCTAAAAGTTTTTGCACTGTGACCCGGTGACTGGTTGAGGAATGCTCTTGTGACCCTTCAAATAAACAAAAGCTGTGCTTTCAGCCATGACCCATGAGGACAAAAGCCTATCCCTTTAGTGGGTCTTGACTTTCCATTTGGAAACATTGGGCACCTTCATGTTTTTGCTACATTTTTAGATTTTTATTGAGGAACAACATGTGACTCAAGGGAATACAGCTTATTCTGACTTCTCCTTTTGCACTCTCCAAGACAGGTGATAAAACATCCCACCAGTACAACACAGTAATACCATTCTGTTGACTTCATTTGGCTTTCATGTGCAGAGGGCTAGCACAAGCAGAAGTCTCAAGCTGTTTTTGATAATGAATTAGACAAAGCATCTGCAGAAAACACTGTATACATATTCTGTTCCCATTAATCCACATTAAAAATCTTGGCAGGCAGAGACCAGATGACTCTGTTGGAGTCATGTTTTTCTTTACACAAAATGGATAAAACTCTGCCCTTCATGCTGTGAAGTAATTCAGAATTTCACAGTGTAGTGCCTGATGGACTGGATTACAGAACATGAAGTAATGCTGGACATGGACATCTTAATCATTTTCAGCTTTTAAAATTGTCACTGCTTGGCAACAAACTGTCCAACTCCCTAGATGATGTTCACAATTACCTTGTTGACATCTCAAACTGTGGCCAAGAAGCTTTATTCATGTTTCAGAGCGTTGTGTAGTTGTGATTGCGTACACACTGTATTCCTGAATCTCTGGTTTTTAATGGCTTTTATGCTAAGAAAGCAAACATGTAGCAGATGTTCTGAACACCAAACTGTGACTGAATTTTGGAAAGTTTGTCCAAGAAATGACTTGACGAAGGTAAGAGAGGAAAATCTAACAGAATGCTAACGACCGTGAGTCATATGAAACAATAATTGGACTATCTGTGAGATATCAACCTGGGGAGGAAATCGAAGTACGTGCACATAAACCTGGGCAAAACTAAAAAGTTTACAACAGTAGGAAAACAGACAAAGGCAAGATTCAGTCACAGTAGTTGCTGTTCTAATCTTTTGCCCTATAAACTAAAATGACTAATGCCAGTCAGTTTTCTAAAGGTTTTGGTGGTCCGTCACTCATGAAGCTGGAAACTTTTTCTAGAAAACTCAGTTGTGGTTACAAGATCAGTTTTTATGTATCAGTTGAGAAGAACAATAACTTGTCACTTACTCAGTTTGTCTCTTTTCTATTCACAGCTATCGCTCCATTCTTCAGCTGGTGAAGCCGTGGTATGATGAGGTAAAGGATTATTCCTTTCCCTACCCTCGTGACTGCAACCCTCGATGCCCACTCAGATGCTATGGCCCCATGTGTACCCATTACACACAGGTAGGCAGACGATTGTGAAGTATAACATATGAAGCAGTTGAGCTCTTGCAGCATCGAGTGACAGCTGATCTTTCTGTTTTGCAGATGGTGTGGGCGACGTCTAACAAAGTGGGCTGTGCTGTACACACATGCCACAATATGAACGTATGGGGCTCGGTGTGGAAGAGGGCGACGTATTTAGTTTGCAACTACTCACCTAAGTAAGTATTTCTGGTAACCTGTGCAGTTTTCATAACACAATCTCGACTTCGTACTGTCAGGAGGCCTGTTAATTCTAATGAACCTGTTAACCTGATGACGACAGGGTGACGACAGGCTTAATCCCGACACAGTCCGCTCTGTTCTGTGCTGACTTGTGAAATGCCACCCATGTCGCCGGGAGATTCAGATAACCCCAATACAAGGCCGTGAAGCGGTACTGCATTACTAAAGCACAAACCGAGAGCCGCAAACCAGAAGAACAAGTCTAAATAATTCTAAGAATCAAAGCCCGCCCGCACTTGTGACTGACTTGTGACCTAGGTTCTTTAATCCCGCTGGTTTGAGACATATGTAAGAGTAGCAGGCTCAGATCACCCATGACCTATTTTAGCTCACAAACTGGAAATGTGTTCTCCATTCTTTGGGACACAAGGTTGTGCGTTCAGACACAATCCTGCTTTCTACTCTGCAGAGGTCACTGTTGTCACTGCCTACAAAGGGAGGTTCTGTGCCTGATGCCAGCTTGCATCTCAGCAGTATCAAGACAGAATTCAGTTTCATGCAGCGGCTGCCTGTTACACTGAGACCTGATTTTTCATTCGCTCGCATAGAACAGATTGCTTCTTAAGTGTAATAGTGTCCTCTTTACAAAGCAATCTCATCTCAAGATTCATTTACACTTGATCTTAAGCAGCAGATAGAATATGCTCAGTTGTCATGGAGCTGTAGATGCTCAAATTTCAAGTTTTTTTCTGGGCACTGTGAGGAGTTCTGGGCAAACTCTTTCTGTTAATAAAAACCATGTGATATGACTGAAAACTCCAAAAATGGACCAATAAATGAGTGTTTTGTCAAACACTATTTCCAAGGTTGAGGATAAACTTTCACCTTCAGTATATTTCTCTTTTAAAGATGGCAATAAATACTACCCGTGCATCTTGACAAGCCATATTTCAGAAAAAAAGGCGGATTTCACAGTTCAGTCAGTTAATCTTGATGCATTTGAGGCATTTTCACTCAGCAAAGCTATTCTGATTCATGTCCAAGTCAAAAACAATCACTTCTGTAGTCACCAGCAGGTTCATTCACACTTTATGTTACTGTCCTCCAGGGGTAACTGGATCGGAGAGGCTCCCTACAAAGTGGGCGTCCCCTGCTCTGCCTGCCCTCCCAGCTACGGGGGCTCATGCAGCAACAACATGTGCTTCCCCGCTCTCAAGACGAACTACCTGCACTGGTTCAAATAAACACAGGTTTCCTCTCACCATAAGCTGACAACCTACAGTACCACAGAGACATTACTTTAATCCGGCTGAGGATTTGCACAACAGTCGTGGACCACACTATTTTGTATATATGGGCTTATTTAAAGATGAAAAACACACATTTTGAAGGCAGCAGGCGATTCACCGTTGATGACTTGTAAATAATCTGTAAATTAATTTGTAACATTTTTACCAGAATTGCTATGACTGTTTTTAATTGATGAAATATAATTTATATGTAAAATGGGTCCTTAAACAGTGCATACTGTATGTGGTGCCGCGTACACTTTTTTTTTTTTTCTTTTTACCATATTAGTTTACTGTTGACAGTGTGGTAATTAAGGACATTGCCACCACCACCACAGCTCCTCATACCCACTCACTTTGGTGCTACGGGCATCACACCTTCATGCTGTGTGCTCTGCCTTCACAGGAATGCTGTGATATAAGGATCAAAGCTTTTGACCTCAGAGGGAAAACCCTACACTGGCAGTCTCGGCTTCACAGTTGCTCTACAGCGGCGTACTTTAAATATACTTAAAGTATAGCACAGTTTTCATTGGTGTCCTGCAACAAGTTGGCAAAAAGCGTGCTGACAGATACATAAGTTAGACTCCATCTGAAGGCCTGATGTCAGCATAGATAACACCTCTGTTGTCAAAAAGTTTGTGCTAACAATAACAAAGGTGCATTGTCAGTTTTTAATCTGCACTAATTACCTTGAATTTCACTACAGATATTTCATCCTTTGGGGCATTTCATTCATATTTCACACAGTAACGGTGCTACATTGAGCACATACAATAAAACTGATCCACATGTCTGTTCTGTAATCATACATGTTATATTGGTATATTACATACCAATATATATATTGGTATTGTTATATTGTGTTATGATCACTGATTGGTCTTTGCATTTAGGCACTCTAGTGCACCTTAATTTTTTGTAAATTTCCAAAAGAGCAGGAAATGATTATTTTTTTGTATGTGTAGATAATCAATATATCTTGACTATCTCTAAACAAGCATACTGTAAGTTATTCATTTTTATATTGGGAAAAATATTTAAGTGATATTCATTTTTTTGTATTGTTTTGTAAAAGGATTGCAGTGTAATAAAAAACATATTCAACATATTCAAGAGGACAAAAATACAAAAATAGGAAAATAACATTTTCAGCACTGACTGTATTTAAATCAACAACAAACTATTTATGCAGTGAACTGCGTTTTTCCTGTTGTGTTTTGTACTTGTAATAAAATTGTCTATTTTGGCTGGGTCTTTCTTTTCTTTTTTCTTTTTTTTTTGGGACTTTTTGTACAAATCAAGCCTTGTCTTGCCTCTGGCTAAAGCAGCACCATTAACCATTGTCTGCTCCGTGTTGTCTGATATTGATTAGCTGCTCTGCTCAAAGTATCAGTCTGGCTCTTTGATTCGCAATTTTCCTTCTCAATTAAACGGCTCCCCTCAAAAGTCACACATCCTGCATATCAAACGGCGCAGAGGGAGAAAAGAAAACATGTTGGGGCTACAACTGAATCCTAATGTGAGAAGGTTGACTTTGGCCCAGATCGTCTGTGTCTACATAAATGAACAGACCACTGATGGGGTTTCAGGGGACGCTTTTGTTTGAGTTTGTTCATTGAAACCATTGACCCTACTAAGAGGGGAAAACAAGGTGCACACAGAATGTTTGAAAATGTGTGTCATCCCCAGACATGGAGGGAAAAATAAAGCATGAGACAGTCTAGAAAGTGTGACATTTTCCTGCTCAGTGGCATAACTTTTGTGTAGATGATGATGGAAAACATGGCAGAAAGATGATAAAGAGGTAACAGAGAAGTAGAATTGGGGATGTAAAGCCAGAAAAGCACTGATGCAGATGCTGTAGTGGTTGCTCTTTTCGTCCCTGCATTAAACCTACGTGGATGAGATCAACAGGCTATCATGCAAACAAATTAGGAAACAGGCAAGACCACAACATGCTTTACTTGTTAGATAAACATCTGTGTTAGTTCAAGCGCACACTGGGCAGCGGCGAGCATCTCTCCAGCCTGAAACGTTTGCTGCACTGTGATACACTCTGGCAGGTGCTGGAACACAATAGCTCACATATTCATCGTAAACTTTTGCGTAGCGTGATGGGGTTTCGAACCACTTCCTGCGCATTATTAAGAAGCTGCATCAGCCAGCCCTAATAGAGCAGCACATTCCCTGGAACCAACCAGCTGAGAGTTTTCGAGGAACACATTAGTATGCATGGGAAAAATACTTTTGTGTGTGCAAATGCCAGAGCCAGAGCCAAACGGATGATTGGTGGATGTTTGAAACGCACATCATCGGGATGCTGAGCTGGACGCGATGATGACTTAGACAATCTGCTGCCGACATTTACCTGGCTTATCCATCAGTGGCAGAGGCAGAGTAAAGGTTAAGGATATGGATTTGGGTTAGGATGAAAGCAGCTTCTGATGGCTCAGGGATACAAACAGAAAAACACCTGCACATGGAGTGTAAATTAGAAAGGAAAAACTAACACCTTAATTCCATTATTAGTATGCTCGACCTCAGCCAAACATTTTTTTGTGTTCGGCTCCTGTGGCTGTACAGCGAGTGTGCTTCTCATCAGCATTTCCATAGCATCAAGTTTGGACGTCTTTCAGCTGCATTTTTTTCTTCCTAATGAATGTACCAAAAGACATTATGTCCATCTTTGGACCTTTTTAACTTCTCTTCATTCTTAGCTCACCTTGAACCTTCATTAAACTTTAAATCAGTGACCGTCTTTGTCATATTAGTTTAGTGGTTTTATTCCTTTTCACAGTTTTTCTCTATAATGGCATGACAATGTAACTCCTCAGCTTTGTATATTAACATCCATGTTGAATACAATATCAGATGCTCTCTCTGATGCTTCAACTGCCTTCAGATTTTACTATTTCAGCTGCTTACAGCGCACACATTTGAACTGAACGCATTTGGAGATGCAAACATTTAACTGAAATTTCAGCTACTTTTACTAAAAGGAATCAACTGATGTTTTATCTGCTTTTATATTTTACTCTACAATTGATAATTCAGCTTCTTGGCCCTCTGGTCACATGATGTCTTAGGTCAGTGATGACACATTGAAAGACATTTTAACTGCCTTTAC